CGAATGATTGAACATCTTGACACAGCTGAACATTTTTTTTTTTAAATCTCTCTCTCTTTAAAGTCACCTGTAAGGTGAAAAATAAATTGCCGAAATAATTGCCTATCCTTAGTGTTGCTGTAAAGCCGTTAACCAATATAATAAAAAATACATATTCATAAAATTTACCAATTTATTCATGATCATTTCCATAAAATTCAAATATGTGTATATTAGATGGTTGGGGGCATTCGGTCACGGGAAGCGCGTTGGACCTAGGTTTCGTGCTAGTTGGCACTCTGCGTGTCTGCAACCTTGAAGGAACTCATATCCCTTCTGAGATTCAAACACGCGTCACCCAGTGAGTACTGCAGTCAGAGACGTTATCAATGAGCTATTCAGATTCGCGATTGATCTCCTGTACGACTGACTATTGGATACTTTGATTAAACACTAGGTTAGTAACCAGTGATTTACGTCTAGTGGAATACAGTCCTGAGGAAGTTCAGTCGTGATTGGTTCTTAATTTATATCAGTATTCACCGTTTTTAACTGACTTAGAATTTGAACTCCCTTGTCATGTGTTTTATTCTTAGTAGTTGGTAAATTTGATCTAGAGTAATGTATGCGTTAGTCCCCAGTTCATCTGAGTACCAAGCTTCTAGAAATTCCTTGGGGTTTCCTCTGTTCTCTCAATCAAATTGGTGTCTGTAATTATCTACATGCATCGATGTGAAAGTATATATATATATTCTCTTCAACACTGTAGTACTACAGTGTGTGTTCGAACTCTTAAACAATGTTTACACAGTTTATTTTGTGATTCATTGGGTTTTTGTTGTTATAGTTGAGTATTTTATCTGTGCGTGTGTGTGTTGACTTTCTGTATACTTGTATTTCTAGATCTCCTGTGTTTGTTCTCGTGATTAAGACGTTGTTTGATTCTTCTCTTGTGAATTTAATGTCTTCAAATATGTTGTTGATTGTGATCAGTCTGTGGATGTATTCCAAATCACATCTCTTTTAATTATTTTCGAATATATCACCAACATTACATACCCAAATTTTCGGTATAATTATGTGTAGAGCTGTTAATTTTAATCTTTGCATAACGTCTTCAGTTATTAATCCTGATATGTTGATATCTCTGATTACTGAATAGGAAATATATTGTAAGACATAATTCTATGAGTTTCATCTAAGTTGAACATTGCGCTTTCTTGTATGTTGATCGCTATCGAGTAGTTGTTGCACAGTTTCTTTTGCTAGTTTTGAACCAATTAAAGTGTGTGTTTATAATGCTGTGACATCAAAAGACGGACGTCGTGATTTCATCGTCATCCACTTGAATGCTTTTGATTTATTTATTTATTTTTTTTACTAAAAATTGGGTTGGTCAACTGATAGCATGGTCTCGATGATTGTGTTATAGAATGATGAGCTTTAGTATTTTTTGAATAATTCGATCACAATTAATTAGTTAGCATTCAATGATTGACGTATGAAAATACCTACTTTGCCCTTATAACAATGCAGTAAGTTCTGATCAGTGAGTGTTTTACATCTCTTTAAAGAACTCTCTACATTCTTTGAGGTGTTGTGACCACTAGTTGTCATCAGTTAAAGAGAGCCATTGGAAACTACCTCGGAGTCCTTGATAGATGCTTCGTCCTAGTTTGGGATTCTCATCAGTGCGAACCCACCGCCGGGATTTGGTTCCAGGACCCTTCGGCTGCACATCAATCTTGTAGATTATTCAACCATCGGGACCCGGGTCCTAATGACCAACCCTTGAATTTCATGTTCTATCGCCACATTCCTTTTTTAATTGTGTGATACTTCGACTAGAAAGAAAGAGGGATGATGCGTTAATCATTCTTACTCATCACGTTACACAAGTTGAGTTCATTTACCATCGAGTTATTCAGTCTTTGGGTAGTATAAATGGTATTTACTTAACAAGTATGATGTGTTAATATTATTATTATTATTTACATTCTTTAAAAATGGATTCCATTCTATTAATAGCTTACTCTAATATTTAACATTTATTCTGTGAATACCATTATTATTTTTATGTATGCGTAGGTAATTGGAATGTCTTTATTTGCCTGCCTTCTTTCTTGTTTATAATGACTAATAATAATACTTCATTCAATGTGTTTGTTGGTCTCTTTAAAGTAATCATTTCGAAACTGTTAGATTTCGTCACTAGCCAGCTGTTTCTCCCTCTTCAACTCTGTACATGTCCAAACTCCGCCGCCCCCCCCCCACTACCACCACCGGGGATTGGTTCTGAGATCTTAGACTATGAGACCGATTCTCGTTGACCATTCTGGGATTTGATGTCCTGTCATTTTCAATTTCTACTAAAATGTTAATTATGTATATTGTAATGGCAGAAAAAACAGGAGGATTTGGTAAAAAATTATTGATTGGCAACTCGATACACAGATGTATTAGAATTACAATTTGCACGTATTTTCGGTATTTGTACTATTTCTCTTTCTCTCTCTCTCTCTTGTATGGTGCTTCTTTGTCTTCCTTTCATGTTTTTCAAGTTGTTTCACAAACACTGTTCATTAAATCCATCTTTTCGCTCTCCGATATCCTTGTAGAGGATTGACTCGTTACTAAGGGATAATCTCGTCAACTTAGAATATGCGGATGATATAGTACTCCTAGGTGAAGGTGCTGACAAAATGCAGAGTTTTCCGAACAACTTGAGCATCAATCTTTGAATGTTTGACATGCAATTTGCTCTTGTCAAATGTAAGATGGTAGAGCGTGTTGACCACTTCACTTATTTCGGAAGTTGCATCAGCCCCAACGGGTTGATCGCTGACAAAATGTTAGCACATATACAGAAAGCTCGTTTCGCATACGCTGTCGACTAAAGGACGTGTAGACTACTTAGATGTTCCCTCCGTCCTTCTTTATGGCTGTGAGACATGACTGTTGAAAGTCAAAGACATGGAAAGGCTAGTTATCTTTGATCATAGGTGTTTCATTTGTACCCCCCCATGTTAGGTGGTATAATAGGGTGAGTAATATTGGGGTTAGGCATTGAGTGCTAGGTAAGGAGGGAAAGTTAGTGGACGAGGATGTGGATCTTAAGATAGGACGTGTGTTGCGCATGCCTAGTCATAGCCTTCCTCGAAAATGGGCAATGTTAGCTGACATATGACATAGGATGCATCAAGTTGGAAAAGGGTTAGGGGTGGTTAGATGAAAACATGGAATCAGTCCATGAGGTCTTTGACAGTTAGTCTGAGCCACGCACGGTGGTGTAGACTTCTCAGTTGGGTTCCTCGGAATGGTAAGAACCAGTGATGGCTGGTGACAATAGATGATCTGGTTCGAAATCGTTCTCAGTGGAGCAGATACATTCACCCTCTGTGATTTATCATATCTATTAAGAACTGTATTGTTCTTCCATATTACTTACTATTGTTTTTCGTTCACATTTCTGTTTATTATCTCTCTCTCTCTTCTGAATCTCTGTTTACTCTTTTCTCTTGCTCTGTGTGCTACATGGAGGTAGGGTGGCAACTCGAACTGCTGCACATTTGTGCTGAAACCACGCAATCAGTCATATTTTTGCTCACATATGAGTATACTACTTATTAATCTTATCAGCAGCACACGCCTGACATAATTTGTAAGCTTGATTTAGTATTCCTTGGTTTTTAGATAAACGTAAACAATATTATTATGAACACTTGCTCTGCTCTACTTCCATCTCATTAGTTTCAGGTTGTCTTACAGAAACCCAAAGTTAACAAAAATCTTTTCTAAATACCACAGAATTATTCAGCAGATTATTATTTTTATTTATTATTTAAAAGCAGAAGAAAACTTGGTACAATGTGGCATCAAGAAAGATGCGCCACACAATAATAATAAAACAACATAGATTAAAAGTAAAAATATAAGTAGAGAGAGGATAAAGAACTTCATCTGGAAGGAAAACAGTCATGCTTAACAAGTTCAAACAGTATTCGTTAACTATCATCGGGAAGGGAAGAAAGAATAACACGTTCGCCATTGATGATTACGATTCTTGGCCATATCCGATAACGTTTCGAACCATCGATTCGAGCTATCTCGCGGACCCAAACCAGGGAGTCGTGACTCACCAACCGATGTTAATCTAGCACAAACATCCTTCATCCCACGACGCCACGTCATGGACTGACCACCTCTCCGCCTTTTCCATCCCGTCCCAGGGCTAGCGAACAGAGACCTGTACAGAAGCCTCTGGGATAACATTCGCAGCACATGTCTAAGCCACCGGAGCCGGTGTTTCGAGATGACGACACTCAATGAATGGTGATCTCCATTGTTTTCGAAGACACGCGGCCGAACCTCGGAATTACTCACGCGATGATGCCATCGAACGCAAGCAATCCTATGGAGACAGCGATTATCGAACACGCAGAGTCGCCGCACATCTTCAGCTAGGAGAGGCCAGGTTTCACATACGTAGAGCAAGACAGCCCGTACCGAAGCGTTGTATACCCGACCTTTGACAGCCAGGCTAGCGTCGCGAAGGCGCCAGAGGTGGCTCAAGTTGATGTATGCCATCCTAGCCTTCATTATACGGTTGGAAATCTCATCCGTCATCCCCGCCCCGCCAGCACTCACACAACTACCCAGATACACAAACTTATCAACAACTTCCAGCAGTTCACCTGCAAACTAGAGTGAGTGCAGGTACAGGCTCCTGCCAATCTTGTAACAGTACTTACAGACACTGATCGCCAACCTAATTAAGTGCGATTTGGGTAGCCTGCATGCTATCGCACAGTAAGACGATATCGTCTGCATACTCGAGGTCGAAAAGAATTATTCAGCAACCCTTTTATATAATGTTTTTACCAAAACATTTGTTAAATTACTAACTTTGCAAATACGAAACTAGATGCTACTTTTTTAAAACTTTGTTTGTAATTAGTAGTATATGCTGGGTTTTTTGTGTTTTGTTCATACTCTCTTTCTCTCTCTCTCTCTAATTATAGGAGCACGAAACACTGAACGCTGATCAAGCTCGTGATTTATTGAGTAGAATGTTAGTGATAGATCCATTACAGAGAATATCTGTCGATGAAGCTCTACACCATCCATATATCCACGTGTGGTATGAAGACTCTGAAGTCAATGCAGTAAGTTTATCAGTGGGAATAGTGGAGTTGTTCACCTTTAAATAAAAAAATATTTTGAGGTACATTTTGTCACAAGTTGATATCGGTTATAAACTCGTAGTACACCTTTCCTTTCCGAGTCTCGCTATGACACACCCTGATTGATGTGTGCAGAGTCTGTCTGTCGTTCTGAAACGACACTGCCTAGATAAGTTAACTTAATTAGGAAAATATCTAAGGCTTTGAGTTAGGGACTCTATTTTTTACCTAATTTTTAGCACAATTTCTTGTTCCTGAGTAATTGGTGTAAGCGTGTACCCGTTGAACTTTGCCAAATTTTCTCGGTTTAAACGCTTAATAATTGCCGTGTGGGTAGTATACTATACATTTCTTTTCTTTGTGTTACAATGGAAATGAAATTCTATCCTGAATGTGTATCTGTTCATCGTTTGTATTGTGTATTTTTCTCTCTTCTGCATAATTTAGCCACCGCCAGCTCGATATGATGATTCCTTTGGTGAAAGAAATTTATCCGTTGAAGAATGGAAAGCTCGTATTTTTCATGAAGTCAAAGAATTCGAAGTACACGAAGCTCATTTACGTAATGCTCAAAATTAATCTTATATATATATATATATATATATATATATATATATATGAGTGCATGAGTGTATGTGCGCGTTGGTATACTGTACACACAGCATAACACCCAGAAATTATGCCTAACTAGCGATTATTAAATTATTCAAACACTGAATAACAGCACGCCCACGACATCCTTTAGAGAAGGAGAGAGTGCGGATGAGTGGGTGGGTGGAGAGATGAAGAGTCGACAGAGAAGATCTAATTTTTCCTTTTACGATTGATAAGAGATTTTGATGATGATGATGATAATTATAATAATAGTAAATTCTTTAGTTTACATCATTCCTTATAAATATTTACTTATTTTGCTGTGTATACTTGACAGTTTTCTTTTCAACTATTTAAAGCGTTGACTTCTTGCTTTATAGTTATTTCTCTGCGTAATTTTTTTTCATTAGGCATCCTTCTTGTAATTAACATTTTTATCACTACTATTATTAGTAGTATACACATATGGACCGACATACGTACACACACTGTTTCACTATATGTTTATTTTCTACTTTGTGTTGCATATCTTATTGCTTGCATATGAATGCATACATGGTTCTGACTGCGCTTTTCACACACACACACTTAAACATGAAAACAGTGCTCATTTGAAGTGTGTGCTTTAAAAACAAAACTATCTCTCACTTGCTGCTAAGTCTTATCTTTTTACATTTTAAGAGTAGTTATCCCGCTAGATTGTTTACAACTGCCTATGACTCCTACTACTGTCCACTTTCTTTGTACTAGTTAGTAGTTGTTGCTGTCATCGTCCGACCCCCCATACACATACACACCTCGCGCTCTGTTTGCCTACTTTTCAAAGAAAACCCATCGTATTTAATGCTTAAAAAGTGCTTGTTTGTTTACCTGTGTGTGCGTGCCTCAGACACCCTCTCTATCTCCTCAAAGATTTCCGTGTATCATTAAATTCAATAATATTATTATTTTGTTTTCTCTTTTTTGTATTTTCAATATTTATATTTACAAGTTAAAAAAAATGCGCACTATTTTTGTTTCTTCAAATTACTCAAACACAACAACAACAAAAAACAGCATACCTTTTCTTTTATGTAACATTATTAATATTAGTATTATCATTGTGATATAGAATTTACAACTTTTAAGTTAATGTGTACATGTCTGTTGTTTGCTCTCTGTCAAACAATAACTACATGCTCATTTATTATTATTGTTATTATTATTATTTCTCTCTCTCTCCCTCTCACTAAATGCACCTACCTTATCCCGGTATATTTAATTTTTATAGTGGTAGGTAATTGTGTGTGTGTGTGTGTGTATAACACGCGTGCATATTTTTGTTTGCCCTTTTGATTGGTGGTAATTCCCTCCTTAATCCCTACTCGAATGAGAGAGAGGGAGAGAGAGAATTGTCATCACACCACAAATGCCTGAAAACTTAAATTTTTCAAAAAGAAGAAGATGAAAAAAGAAAACACTCCCAATTCAAACTTATTTTCGTAACGCTTTCATATTTGGCGCCGATTCAATGTGTTCAATACAACAACAATAATTAATAATGATGACGAGTAGATTTGCTTCCGATTTGTTTGTTTGTTTTTTTATTTTCCTCATTTGTTTGTTTTTATGCTCGGATGCATTGAGGTTGATGTTCATTATGACGATGATTATTAGCCCTATTCAACTGCTTACAGTCTGTTTTTTTTAAAAAAAAACTTGTATAGAGTTACTGGACATGTAATAGACATCGGATTGTAATAAAACAGACAACACGCACTTACTTACTTAATATATAATTATTTATCTCCCCGCTGTTCCATTTTCTCTCTCTTATTTAAAAACAAGAACTCCTCTGCTAGGAAATATATTTTTATCTGTCTAACAACTTATTTTGATGGCATTCATCATATCCTATCCCCGTATTCTTTTACATTTTTAATCCTCTACTTGACGATATTGCTGTAATGCTTCTTATGACCTCTCTATGTGTGTTTTATATATTTAAACAAAACAACTAAATAATGAATATGTTATACTGATAGCAATTTCATATCCTTCTTTGTTTTGTTGTTGTTTGTTTTCATACTGCTTTAACATTAGTAGCAAATGTGCATGGCTTTAGTTAATGTTTTCGTTGGAGCGGTCGGTTTCTAACTACTGACTGACTGGAGTCGACATTGGACTATGCACAATGGTGGTGCGATTCAAGTTGCCACCCTCCCTCCATGCAACATACAAAGCAAGAGCAGAGAGGGATAGGAAACAGAAGTGTGAGCGAGGGAAAAAGCAATAGTAATATGGAAGAACAATAGGATTTTAATGGGTGTTATAAATCACAAGGAGTGTTCCGCGTCTGCGCTAGTCACTGAGAACGATTTTCAGATTTCTCTCCAGCCATCATTGTTAATGACCATTTCGTGAACCACAACCAGTTAGGCAGTCTACACCTCACTCTAGATGGCATAAACTAACTGTTGCGGATTCATTGACTAATGAAGCCAAGTTTTGGTTTGACCACCACCATGAGGATGGGTTTGTCTAGATTTCGAGTGGATTTTCAAGGGATTTCTAACCATGACTAAATATTTAGATAATTCATAAGTAGGTGAATTTCTAAAACCAACTATGGGCCTAATAGGTTATCCTGATTTATGAATTATGATTTACGAATTGTAACAAGTCACAATTTAGACTTGACATATATCTGTATATAAACCTCATTTAAGAATATGTAGGATATTGAGAAATATCAGTATCTGAAAAATACACCGGAGAATTATACTAGAAAATTGTGCCTCTGATGACGTTTCTGCAGATTATACAGTATGAACTGACTGCCTATAGATAGAAACTTCACCAGAATTTTATCTCACGATGTCTACTTCAGTGAAACTAGATTTCATTCGAAATTTTAGTATTACTTTTGAAGTTTATGTTCTTATTAAGGCTTGATTATATTTATTTTTGTCAAAATTGTAACTCATTGCTGACTAGTAGCTGTCGGAATGATCATTTAATCTTTACCGGTCTTATTGCTGGCTTAGCGAGGTAAAAGACTGAGTCGGCCGGTAATCAGATTCTGAACCACCTTTGTGGTTGGCGAGCATTCTACCGCTGTTCCACCGACGCACGTGAGTCATCTCCCGATGGCCGTGTATGTCCCTTTCCGCTTTTGAGGTAGTTTTCGTGACCCTGGCGCGTATTCAACAGTATTGCGCCTCAGACTATCATATCCTGCCTTCAAATAGAATGTTAAAAATATATATGGTAATCTGTTTCTAGTGCACTATTAAACTGTAGGAATAGTATTCAGGCGTTAACACCAAACAAATACAATGATTCTCTTTTGATTGGACACTAGTAACTAGCGTGATGTATCCATCCGATAATTTAGTACGGACTGAATTCTATCAGTCAGATTTGCAATGTGGCCACCATTCGAAGTAGCTCGCCATCACGGTGCACATTGATTTGATGATATTAGATACCACTTCAAAGGACTCGTGAACCGACCACCACCTGCAACCCGTCCAGAAATACCAACAACAGCACGCACACAACTGCAAGTCGACACCAATCCTCCAACAAAAGCTGAAGTCTTGAATGCAATCAAGCTTCTGAAAGCTGGACTAGATGGAATACCCCCTGCAGCACTGAAAGCGGACCCAGAGACGACAGCAGATATGCTGACTCCATTATTGCAAAAGGTCTGGAAGGAGGGAAAGGTGCCTACTGACTGGAGGAAAGGTTACCTCGTGAAACTACCAAAGAAGGGCGACTTAGGACTCTGCAAGAACTGGCGAGGAATCATGTTCCTATCGACGCCAAGTAAAATCCTGAGTCGCATCATCCTGGAGAGATTAAAGGATGCACTGGAGACAGAACTCCGACCAGAACAAGCTGGATTCAGGAAAGTCAGACAAATCATGTTCTGACCAAATTGCATCATCATCACAGAACAAAGCATGGAATGGCAATCAAACCTCTACCTCAACTTTATAGACTTCGAGAAGGCCTTTGACAGAGTTGATCGTGAAGTAATTTGGAAATTACTCGAGTACTATGGCGTACCCCAAATATTCATCAACCTTATTCAACAGCTGTACGACAACGGAAAACTCAGCGAGGCGTTTGAAGTAAACACAGGAGTCAGACAAGGGTGCTTATTATCGCCAATGATATTCCTAATTGTGGTGGACTGACTGGATTATGCGTCAGACAGTGAGTGGGAAACAAGAGAAGACATGGATATCCTGGACAGACGTGAAGAACCTAGAAGACTTGGATTTCGCCTGTGGATGATTTATGTTTGTCACACACAATCGAAGACTTACAAGCGAAAACCGACCGACAAACTGGTCGAAGAAGCAGCCAGTGAAGACAGGACTCCAGGTGAACATAGACAAGACAGAGGTTATGAAAAAACCGACCAACAACAACAGTAGCAGCAACATCCAGCGCCAATCACTATCAACGGGAGGGATTTGAAAGAGGTTACTTCATTCACTCACTTATATAGGGAGCATTGTCTCAACTACAGGCAGTCGGAACGGACGAGGATGTCAAATCGAGAATTGGGAAGGCGAGAAACACATTCGTCAACCTGAAACCAATCGGGAAACCTCCGTCACTCAGCCAGCATCAACAAAATAGTCCGGTCGGATTTTCAATACAAACGTCAAGTCAGTTCTTCTATACGAATCGGATGAGAAATTTGGCGGGCGGGTCACAAGGAATATTTCCAACAGCCTGTTTCAGACCTTTATCAAACAACAACTGTCTTCGCCCTATACTGAAGATCAGATGGCCGGCCGGAAAGAATCACCAACAAGAGACTATGGGAACAAACAAAACAAGAACCAATCGCCCAACAAATATGCCGGGGAAAGTATAGATGGATTGGACACTCGCTGAGAAGACCGCTGGGTGACATCGCGCGCGCGTCAGGCCATTGCTCGAGTGGTACCAGGCTGAAAGGGGAGCGGCGAGTGGGACCTCCGAGGGTGACATGGATGAGATCTTGTGAAGAGGAGTTGAAAGAGTATGGAATAACATGGATGCAGGTAAAAGCACAGCAGAAGCAAGTGGAGACGTGCAGTTGAAGCACTATGTTCCACTAGGAACCTAAGGGAACAATAATAATAATGCAGGTAATGAGGAAGAAGTAGGATTTAGCTATTAACTCTGTCCCTTAAAAAGCAGCATCTTCCTACGTTAACATTTCAACACGAAGGGAATTCACTTATGCTCCTGTGAGGTCTGACTGAGTGTAGTGAAATTGTGCTGCTGAAGTTCGGCATTCTGCTCGGAATGCCTGGGTTGAGCGAAAGTAATACAATCAACGGTTACAATTATGCGACATATATAAGGTTCACGCTAATTCAAAATATGTGTACCGTTTGAAGAATACGACGGAAAGACGAGTTAGTTTTGTAATTAATTATTCCGATATACTATATCTGCCTTTACCGTGCTGTGCCTTTTGGATTGTGTCCTGCACGCCTGACCTTAGAAGCGTACTGGTTTCCGACCGTTTTAGCTTGTCAGTGTAATAAGTGTCTCTCAAGGCCATCCGTAGCGTATATGTACTCAATTGCTGTCAATTCGTTTCGGTGTTGTTTCGAGACAGTAAACGTTATATATGCCAACGGTCTCTGCTTTTGCGTGGCGCGTTCGGCGTTGTCGATGTTACTGCTTTAGAGGCTGAAGGTATTGACCTTCATGGATAGTGCAAAGTATACTAACGCAAGGTCTAATACCAACAACTTCTATAGTAACCGTTCCGCGTAGACCAAAGGCAAAGCAAAACACTAGGATTGACCGACCAATATACTGGACTTAGTTTTCTTGAAAGACATCGCCCTATCTACCATAAATATCAGCCAACCAGGTAGTGACCACGACATAGTTGTCATCTGCTCCTTCGATACCAAGCCCCACTCAATAAAACGCTCTACACTGAGCAGAACTTTCATGTGCTTTAGAACGGCTAGGTGGGAGCTATCTAAATCCTTCATTCAAACCTTAGACTGCGAACTGTTCTTTTCCAATAGCAACCTAGACACTATCCTACTAGCCTTTTACTAGAATGCATTTATATGCTTTGATAAACTTGTTCCTAAATGTAAAGACAACTCAGACCAAAACATAAAGGACTTCACTCCTCGAAAAGTAATGGCTAAGCTGCACCAAACGACTTTTCGCGTCTTGTGAGTTTACAGAACATTTATCTCAAATTGAAAGAAATTGAAATAACGACAAAGTCTTACTCGGACAAGAAAATTTAGCTCTCAAAGAGCTGCAGCTCTAAATACAGTGCAATCTGTAGGCTTTATCGCAAAAGGCTAAACTCTCGTAAAACGGATATAACATTCACTTTAGAAAATGGGGAGTCTGCTAGTGACCCTAAAATAATTTGTGAGCTTCTGAACTCCTACTTCTCACAGTTCTAGACCTATGATGATATTACGTCGTCACAACCTCCATTCCCCATACGTTCACAAAAAACAAATTATCAGCTTTTATTTAGATAATATTAAGAAAGCAATCGCCTCTCTTAAAAGTTCAAACAGCCCTGGTCCTGATACGATCCCCTCAACTTTTTTAAAATACAGTGTTAAGGACATTCCCATTCTTTTTCTCAAAGTTTTCACTGGCTCTTTATCAACTGGGAGATACCCAGATGTATGGAAAAACACGCACATTACCCCAAGGTATAAGTCAGGCTCCCGTTCAAGTGTTATGAGTTACAGACCCACTAACCTAACTTCCGTTGTTTCAAGAGTTCTGCCAAAGATTGTGTAAAGTGCCATTGTTGACTTCCTCTCTAACGAGAAACTTATCACTCCTTAGCAATATGGTTTCATGAAGTCAGTCACGTTCTTGCACGACATGCCATTTACAATTTTTCGATCACATCTCACAACTTAAAGATTCCTGTATGATCACAATTATTGTATACTTAGATCTTAGTCAAGCCGCCGACTGTTAGTATCAAAAGTCCAGTCTTATGGCATCAAAGATTCATTGTTAAACTGGCTCGGTTCGTTTCTAAGCAATCGAATGCA